TGATGCTGAAATAAATTACATTTTATAATATATTACAACAGAACACAGTTATTTTAAATTGTAATATTTTCTTTACAATATTACTGTTTTTACTGTGTTATTTATTTTATTCATTTCCCTTTTGGTGTGAAAGGCTTTTATATTCGCCAAAAATAGAACTTTTTTATTTTAAAAACAAACAAGCAAGCCCTGTCCAGATTTTAAAACTAACGCAAAAGTAACGTAACGCATTACTTTCTATAAAAAGTAACGAAGTAACGTAATTAGTTACTTTTTTATGGAGCAACGCAATATTGTAATGCATTACTTTTAAAAGTAACTTTCCCCAACACTGTTGGTGATTATATGTCAAAAAAGATTTATCTTTTTTGGAATACTGTATAATATTCCCCCCCCCCGGGTCCTAAGGCCAGTTCCACAATGGCATCATCTTCCTGGAAGTGACATCATTTTGGAGGGAAAACAACAGCACAAACATCTGTAAGTATTAGCAATGGATTCTAATGGGACTTTTGCTTGCTGATGGTTTGTGATGTTAGTTGGTTTTGGGTCATTTTGAATCCTTCCATCCTTGAAATCAGTTTGATAATAATAGCTGCTCATCACGGTTTGACGAATTCAGTTTCATTCCTCTTCTTCCTGTTTGTTGCTGCCGTGTGGTTTGAGTTTGAGCTCCGTCAAGTTAATTCTTTGTCGTCTAATTTTTTATCTTAAAATCAATTTTATACACCATCCTTTTTCAGTTCTATAACGTGTGAATATATCCCCTATCGTATTCTACAACAAAAACAATCAGAACGCCTTATCACTAGTTCTATTTTTGACTTTCCGAGTCCGCTATTAGCATATAGCCCGATAGCATGTGTTTACTATTGTCATTTTGCATTATTGACACTATTTTCCTAATTAATGCTGTTCAGTTGCTTTGACACAATCTGTATTGTTAAAAGCGCTGTATAAATAAAGGTGACTTGACTTGACTTGACTTCTTAAACTGTCAATGTGAGAGGAATTTATTTAATGAGAACAAATGTAGGGTGGGATGTTTTGATGAAAGTTTATAAATCAATCCAAATAAAATTAATAAACTGGATTAAGATGAGATCAATATTGATTTCATGTTAAGTTTTAACTTGATTTGTCCAAATGCAGTTTTGGAGTTTAGAGCCAGTTTAACCATTGCAAATTACACAGTGTGCATTACCATGATATGACTTTGCTAATTTGTTATGTCTGCTTTATTTTTGCTATCCATTCTACCTGGCAAAACCTATCAAATAGTAGAAAATGTTTTAGTTTCTCTAGTAAGCACACTTATAAATTCACAAACTGTCATATATATCATCCTATTATAATCAGTATTCAGAAGGTACAGGATGCATTATCCGTCTATTTGATTCATTTCATGTTTAATATTCTCTGACGTTTCCAAAGTGAAACTTTATGTCTGATTATTTAGTACTTTGTGCTCAATTATGAATTTATCATGCCGTAACGTGGATTTAAATTGCTCACACTGAGGTGTAATTCTTTATGACAGTTGACGCCAGCAACAATGAACGCAATTTCCTTCTTTTCAAAGCTCCACATGCATTATCACATGTAATTATGCAGAAAGCTTAAAGCGGTTAGAAAACTGATGATTGAAGGTGAGAAATGTCAGGCACTCTTCAAGCCGCTGATACAGGAGCTGATACAGCGGAGGTGTTTCGCTCGGCTGAATATTCACGTGTTGCCCAAGGTACATATTTAACGTGGTTAGTTGGAGGTGGTTTTACTGCCATTTGCCAAAAGAGCAAGGGCAGCTTTAAAAAGCCACACGTGGAAGGTCACGTTAGAATCAGGCCAGTAAAATCTGAGTAACTGAGGGCAGAGGAGACTGAAAGTCCTGTCCACGAGATCAGCAAATGTCTCAGCGGCACACGTTTCAAGCTCCATTACAGACACAATATGCCAGTCTTGCCACCGCTGGGATGAAGAGCTCAACATGTTCTGTCCCAAAACAACTAGCTAACGGCCCATTAACCGATGATGGCCTTGATGTGGACAGCAGCCCTCTTGACATCTGAGGAGAGGACGGGATGTTCTAGAAACTCAGTCTGGCTTGCAGGCGTTCTGTAGGGTGGGGATTCAGTATCGAGGCGAGGTTTATGAGTGAAACAGCAGGGTTGTGTGCCATTAAGAAATTAATGAATTAAGAGTGCCTAAATTTAAACTGAGTTGGAATTGAGTCAGCAAACAAGATACTTGAAAATTTTCAAGATAGATAGATAGATAGATAGATAGATAGATAGATAGATAGATAGATAGTAGGAGTGTAATAGTACACAGAAGTCATGGTACGATATATACCTCGGTTTTGGGGTCACGATTCGATGCTATTTCGGTATAACAGGAAAAATCAACAAATCCCCAATGGTTTTTTTTTTTTTCTTTTTTACTTTGAACAGACAGTAGTGCATATTACAGTTTGTTCTTGATATATTTAGTCCCACCTGAGGTAGTTGATACAGTACAGCCCCCTTAGTGTATCCAAACAAAAATGCTACACACATGAGAAGTAGTTTTTTTTATTTGAATTGATTGTATAATTTGAAGATTTAAAGCAAAAATAGAATGGTCTGACTTGACATTTGTGAAATTATGCTACATAGGACACCTGCACAAAACAAAAACAGCAGACGGGCTGAATGAGATGCAAATTCACTCTCTGACAGCAGGTGGCACGTATGGAACAGCAGCGAACAGTCAGTTCCTTTCAGAGATACATTCATATAACCCCCCACCCCCAATTCAATATTTATATTTTTCTTCCTATATTTTGTGCATCATGAACTGTGAGTTCGCTCTGCCTACTACAGCATTTTTTCCTCTTTGTGTCCATCTTCAGCATCTCTGGCCTTTGTTAACGTCCCATTTACAGACTTTATAATATTTTTGCCAAGACATTTTGGGAAATGATTGCAATGCAGTTTGTGTCCAAATCCGGAAAATAGATTGGCTAAAATAAAACTAAAAACCACCCAGTTGCCAATTGTGTGTTTGGAGCAAAGACAAGAGGACGTCTCTTCTGTAGTCTCGCGTAGCCAGACCGTGAGACTGATGGCTGAAGGTCTGGAATCCATGGCAGCTTTCATTGGCCAAGGCCCACCCATGAGGCCGTTTGACCGACATGTCAAACAACCAATCACAGTTCGTTTCGTTCAGCGTCACGTTTCGGGGCGTAAAAATGCCGCCACAATTGGATGTATTTTAGAGATTCTGTGCCGTGAACTTTAAATATTTCACATACTTTTGAAACTCCAGCGTTTAGTTGATCCTGATAAGCACTCGTCATCACAGTTGTAAACACTACGGCTTTCTTATTTCGTGAGGGGGTTTTGCGTCACGGCATCTTTGTTTCCAGACGGAACGCTTAAAGAACGCGACACACACGTCTCCCGGAAATCCTGTAGAATTCAACCAATCCGATGACGACTTCGACACTCCTGAAGTGTTTTCACTTTTGTGTCCCATATGCATCAGACGTTTAGCCAACGGTCCGTGGGCGTGACGTCTGAGGCTGAGACTATCTCTTCTGCTGCTCTTTCCTGTTGTGGTGGATAGCATTGCATTACCGCTCATGACCCTTCTGGATCGATCACCTGTGACTGTATTCGTCGTCTGACTGCATGAACCGAACCGTGACATCCGTACCGTGACTGTTCGGGACGAATAATTCATGTACCGTTTTGTGTACGTTTTTGCTTGAAATCAAAGTTTGTAATATTGGGATTCTCCTTATAGCTGGCTGGCTTGGTTCAAGGCTTATAACGCTTTAACAAAGACTATTTTTAAATCCCTATGCAGAAAATCAATAGAAGACGTGGACAGGCACTAAGACACTACAGTATATTGCAATTCAGTAAATTCCTCTTCCTGTCATTCCAATTCAATTCAAATTCATGAACCGATGGGGAACCAGTTTGTCAGTTCTTGATTTTTCATAACCTTAACTGACAGCGACATGGAGAGAGGGACATTATTGTGAATTGTTGAAGTGATTGTTGACTTGAGCAGTGATGCGTTGCAGCAACAACCAATGGCAGTGGTGTACATATTTAGCTCTTTGATTTAGAAATGTTGACGTTTTTCACATTTGCATGTCAAATGGGCTGAAGTCTAATATTTGGGGGTTTGTTCAGATCACAAACCTTCAGTATGAGCAATACCTTAGAACATTTTTTTAATTAAAGCAATAGTCAATGTTGTGCGTTTGAGAAAATCTCATTTGAAGCTCCCATTACCACATCAGAAATCAAATTAAAATGTCTCCGCTTACAAAGAAACTCAATTCATTCCCAAACCGCAAACTCAGCTGTTCTGCCGAGTTGTGAATTTTTATTAAATTCGGGGACAAGGAACGATTCTCAAAAATTGTATGGAAGCATAATTTAATATAATTCCACAATTGAAACCCCTTGCAGATTTTTTAACCCAATTACCTTGAACTGTCAGCATTATATTTGCTATAGTCCAGGGGTGTCAAACTCAATTCCTGGAGGGCCGGAGCCCTGCAGAGTTTAGATTCAACCCTAATTAAACACACCTGATCTAGCTAATCAAGTCTTTCAGGTTTATTTGAAAACTACATGTATGTGTGTTGGAGCAGGGTTGGAACAAAACTCTGCAGGGCTCCGGCCCTCCAGGAATTGAGTTTGACACCCCTGCTATAGTCTAAAATCAAAATAAATTGGTCAAATGATCATGTCCTATAAGGATACCAGGAACAAATTCATTAAATTGTCCTTCAGAGCAGACAGACCAATGGAGGCCAGTTAGACAAGAATCAAAACATAGGATTTTGGATCTATGATGGACAAACCACAATCTCAGGTTCTTTTCTTCAGGGTATGAATGTCATATTTCATATTTTATGAGCCCTGGCTAACTAACCACCCGACTGCAATAATAATCTTATTTTCTATTTTAATCATTCAGAATGTTTGTATTTTCTCCAGAAGGAAGCAGCGAGTCAACTCATAAAGGATGACACTAATACTCATGCTGTAATCCTCAGGTGAACTTCATTTTTGCCAATTATGTGATCTTATGCAACAATGTAGAGTTCATTTCCCATGACGCATCTCTTTCACTCTGGCTTAAGTGTAGGTGTTGGGTGCTTAATTAGTGAGATTCATGCCAGCATTTTCAGCTGCCCTGTGAATAATGTGAGTAAATTTTTTTCCCATTTAAATGGAATAGGAAGTGAGACGGGTTTTACAACACTTTGTTGAACGTTTGATGTTAATCATATAACTTATTTTAAAATAGGGGTGCTCCCATTGATTGACTACCTATCGCTATCGGCCGATAATGGCTTTGGGAAGTCTGATCGGCGGTCTCTATATAAAGGCTGATCTCATAAATTGATCTGAAGCTGACGACGTGCCTGCAGTGAGAGGTTTGGCATGACATCCAGCAGCACCGTCTCAATCTCTGTTTGTCTGTGCATAGGTCAAATAAATATAATGCTGAAGGTGAGGCACAATTCATCTTTCTTTATTGCAATAACTTAGTCATTTGAAAACTTTCTGTGAGATGCAATTTCACAAACAGCGTGAGTGAATCACAGCTTTCTCTCTCTCTTTCCCTCTCAAAATGTGCAAATGGTTTCAAATCACCACACAAGATGTCTGCACTATAAGCGAGCTGCACACTGCACAAATGACACAGGAAATGTCACTTGCACAATCGAGGCAGTGTCGCATCGTCACTAATCCCATGACGCATCTCTTTCACTCTGGCTTAAGTGTAGGTGTTGGGTGCTTAATTAGTGAGATTCATGCCAGCATTTTCAGCTGCCCTGTGAATAATGTGAGTAAATTTTTTTCCCATTTAAATGGAATAGGAAGTGAGACGGGTTTTACAACACTTTGTTGAACGTTTGATGTTAATCATATAACTTATTTTAAAATAGGGGTGCTCCCATTGATTGACTACCTATCGCTATCGGCCGATAATGGCTTTGGGAAGTCTGATCGGCGGTCTCTATATAAAGGCTGATCTCATAAATTGATCTGAAGCTGACGACGTGCCTGCAGTGAGAGGTTTGGCATGACATCCAGCAGCACCGTCTCAATCTCTGTTTGTCTGTGCATAGGTCAAATAAATATAATGCTGAAGGTGAGGCACAATTCATCTTTCTTTATTGCAATAACTTAGTCATTTGAAAACTTTCTGTGAGATGCAATTTCACAAACAGCGTGAGTGAATCACAGCTTTCTCTCTCTCTTTCCCTCTCAAAATGTGCAAATGGTTTCAAATCACCACACAAGATGTCTGCACTATAAGCGAGCTGCACACTGCACAAATGACACAGGAAATGTCACTTGCACAATCGAGGCAGTGTCGCATCGTCACTAAAGTTTATAATTTGCATTTCTTTTTAAGTCTTGCCAGTGTTTAAACTGTTCAGCACTCACAAGCTCTCCTAGAGACGGTGCGCTCATGCACACTCAAAGCGCACACACACAAGGCCGCCTCACATACAGCTCACCAAATCAGGCTTTCGCTGTGTGTAAGCTATTGTGCAACAATTGCCCCATTGTAAAAACAAAAATGCACTGCGTGATAAAACGTTTATGTGAGATGATTATATCAATTAGCCTATATCACTTATCATGATAAAAGATGACTTCGAAAAGATCAGTATTGGTGAAAGTATTGGCATATACTGCTTCCTGTAATCGACAATCAGCTCCAAAAGTCCTGATCGGTGCACCCTTATTTTAAAAGTACAACATCTCTTGAATAATGTATGTGTTTTGTTGTACTTATTGTCTTGGGAGAAAATTCAGTACAAAATGTGGCTCTCTAGGTAACGTATACATCCATGAAAAACAATCTGCAATAAGCTCCAGGTGTGAATAACTTGTTGCATCTTTCCCAAAAAGACTCATGGCTGTATTAGATCAAAAGGGTGCTTCTACTAAATACTGAGCAAAGGGTCTGAATACTTAGGACCATGTGATATTTCAGTTTTTCTTTTTTAATAAATCTGCAAAAATGTCAACAATTCTGTGTTTTTCTGTCAATATGGGGTGCTGTGTGTACATTAATGAGGAAAAAAATTAACTTAAATTATTTTAGCAAATGGCTGCACTATAACAAAGAGTGAAAAATGTAAGGGGGTCTGAATACTTTCCGTACCCAGCAGGGGTTTGTTTTCGTCTGAAAGAACACGGACGCTTCCCTGCATCTTTATTGATGAATGCCCTTTCGTTTCTTTTTTTATATCCCCCAATTCAGTTTCATGCATGTAACCTTTTATGCATGTATTTCAGAGTACCTAACATGATTTGTTACATTTACCCTTTGCAGATTTCGAGCCCTATACAAAAAAGTTACTTTAAAAAGAATTTATAAATAACCTTCCATAAATTAATATTTTTCCATGTATTTCATATACAAATTATTCATTTAAATTTTTTGTATTTGTTTATCACATAGACACACATGCTGCATTCATGTGAACCGCGAAAAATTGCACATGGGAAAATCTGTTTAAAGACGTCTATTTATTATCTTCCCTCTGTTCCTGATTTACTTCCTCTCAGATCTGCAGTGTTCCTCCCTGCTGTTCCATATTCACTGAGCAATAAAGAGCTCTCAGCACCGACCGCTGCGCTCCAGATTTCGAGAATTAGCTTTAGCTAATTAGCTTTAAGAAGTTTCTGAGCAATTATGGACTGGTCACCTTCAGAATGAATTGTGGAAAACTGAGGAAAATTGCTTGTCCTCATTACTTCATTTGCACCGTTCCTCGGAGACAACAGACTTTAGAGCCGCATGTGGCAGTTCTCCCATGAGAATCTAATGGTAATAAGCCTAATGGTTAGAGCAGTGATGGGCAAACTTGGCCCTTCCAGGCCACTTTCCTGCAGAGATTTGAGCCAACCCTGATAAAACTCACCTGCCTGTAGCTTTCTAATAGTCTTGAAGACAATGATTAACTGGTTCAGGTGTGTTTGATTTGAGTTGGAGCTAAACTCTGAAGGAAAGTGACCTGAAAGGGCCAAGTTTGCCCACTCCTGGGTTAGAGAGTCGGACTTGTAACCTGAAGGTTGTGGGTTCGAGTCTCAGGTCCGGCAGGGATTGTAGGTGGGGGGAGTGAATGACCAGCGCTCTCTCCACCCTCAATATCACAACTGAGGTGAGACCCTTGAGCAAGGCACCGAACCCCCGACTACTCCCTGCACTACTGTGTGTGTGCACTTGGATGGGCTAAATGCAGAGCAAATTCCGAGTATGGGTCACCATACTTGGCCACACGTCATTTCACTTCACTTCATAAACTCAAATGTTTCTCATTAAACACTTCCAAGACTAAATTATCATTTTATAGCTCCATACACTCTTAAAAATAAAGGTTCCAAAACAGGCTTTTTGCAGCCATGCCATAGTAGTAGAATCATTTTGATTTCCAAGTGAACAGTTCTTAAAAGAACAGTTATTTTGTTAGTGTGAAGAACATTTAAAAAATCAAAAGAACCTTTTTCCACTATAAAGGACTTTTTGTGGAATTGAAAGACTAAAAATGACTAAAAGCGCTATATTATGCATGCCAGGCCAGTAATTGGTGATGTAATTTTGTAAATAAACACTAAACAGCTGTGCACATACTTATAGACTGAACACGTTATACGCATGAGCATGACATCACCATTTTCAAAATGTGCGCTTTTGTAGTTTACGCTAGCATTTTCAAAAACTTGCACATTGAAACCCGTTTCCAGAATTTTTTGTTTTTAGGCACCCAAAACGCTGTTGTCGTGAAAATGAATGGCCAAAATGAATACGTTTTTAATTTTAGTTGAAAATGGTGTTGTGTAAATGCCCTCCAAGATAAAAAAGGACTGAGATCTCCTTGTCAGTTAACATCTAAAACATTTACATCACATCAGTCTGACCCCTCACGGTCTTTTTCTGTCGGAATCAGTCATAACAACCTTGCCCATCTTTACAGCCATTTCACATGTCTGATATTTTCTGCTCCATTCAGCTCCTGAAGTTAAGTGTGATTCAAGGACACGCGTCTCCTGTCTTTGACATTAGTGAACATTTCCTGTTCTGTGGAACCTTTTATACTCAGGAGCTTAAAAAGTAAATATGCATATGTTTTATTTTAAAGAGAGTTCACTTAAAAATGAACTTTTCTCACTCGCACTCAATCCATAACTGTATGGCTTATTTTTTTTCTGTGGAAATGTTAGGAGAAATGTCTGTTGTTGTTTTTTGGTCTATTTTTTGTCTATACAATTAAAGTCAGATGGGTCCGATGTTTGAACCTCAAGATTCTTCAAAGTATCTTCCACTGAAGAAAGAAAGTCATACAGGTTTGAACAACCCTGGCTTTTTCAGTGTAGTAAACTTGCTCGGTAGCACACCTAGTACATCATTGCAATTGAAAAGTGGAACGCTTGGATAAACATGGTTCGACAAAAGACTTCGGTGCCATGTAAGTAAAATAAAGGTGACTCGACTTGACTTGAAACAATCAATGGAGAGTTTTTCATTTTAAAAATTGGAAATGACAAAACATCTGCTCAAATCAGAGTCAAAATCTTTTTCACATTCACTCTTATGTTCACTTAATTGAATAATTGTGATAAAAGAGCAAATTTGATTTCCAGGGTTTAAATGTTTTATATATTAAGACATACATGATCATGTAGGAATGACATTGACAGCTTCTTCTTTTGCTTTTCCATTTACATATTGTAAGATTTGTCAATGCTAAGATGCAATCTGATTTTAAACTTCTCTCTGTATTTTCTGTCCTTTCCTCTTTTCCATCTTTCATTTCCTCAGTTCTTTCTCAGAGTTCCATATGTCACAGTTGGCTGCTCTTACCTCAGCTTCTTTTCTTCTTATTGTTTCTCTCTATCTGTCAGTCCATATCCTGCTCTTTGCTATCTATCCATCGCTCTCTGTAATTCTGCTTAAACTGTGATTTAGTTTTTCTTCCAGTGCATAATATTAGACAGGAATACTCAGGGGCATTTTTATGATTTCATGTTGCCAGATCATGAACCAAGCCAAAATATTTGCTGATGTGGAACTAACTTTGACCTGAGCTAATAAAAAATGCTGTTGGCATCTTGGCATATGCTAAGATGCATATTTTTAATTCAGTGGCCATATCACTGAATATACAAATTTATTCACAAAAATAAATAAATATTGCTTGCATGTGTATGGAAGTGTTTGCATTTAGCTAGCGTATTAAAAAAAATAGATATTTCACCCAAAAATTAACATTTAATGAGTTTGTTTCTTCATGGGAACAGATTTGGATAAATGTAGCATTTCATCACTTTTCCACCTCTGCAGTGAATGGGTGCCGTCAGAATGACAGCTGATAAAAACATCACAAGAATCCATCCACACCACTCCGGTCCATCAATTAATGTCTTGTGA